TGACCCGCAGCCCCCTGGCCCCCCAGCCTAGCTGGTGCCCCCAGGCCTCCCCTCCCCTCCTGCCCTAGCAGTGACCTAGCGCCCCCGTGTTTAACCATTGATGTGCCAGCCGGGCCTCGGTGCCCCCGTGACCTCAAGGAGCCTGTGCCCACCCCCTGTGATCCCCACTCTCCCCCCAGCTCCGGCTGAACAGCATCAAGAAGCTGTCGACCATCGCGCTGGCGCTGGGCGTGGAGCGCACCCGCAGCGAGCTCCTCCCCTTCCTCACAGGTACCCACAGGCCTGGGTTCTCTGGGAGTGGGGAGAGGCTGGGGGGTGACAGTCCAGGGTGCTGGGAGCCTGGATGCCTGGGTTCTTTGCGGGGGGCAGAGGATCAGAGCAGGGTTGGGGGGCTCGGACAGCTAGATTCTTCGGCCGCTGTCAGCAGCCTCTGTCCCTCTTCTCCCCCCGCAGACACTATCTACGATGAAGATGAAGTGCTGCTGGCACTGGCCGAGCAGCTGGGCACCTTCACCGCCCTTGTCGGGGGGCCCGAGTATGTGCACTGCCTGCTGGTACGTGCCCTGGATGCCTAGGTTTTTTGGGGGGTGGGGGGGGATGGTCCTGGGAACTTGGGCAGTGGAGTGTAGTTGGGCAAGGGTGCCCGGATGCCTGGGTTCAAGGCTGGCTCTGGGATTTTGGGGGGTGGTCCCGGATGCCTGGGTCCTTTCCCAGCTCTATATGGCCCGTGGGCTCCCCTTGCTGGGGTGCAGTGGTGCTCCCAGACACCTGGGTCTCTGTGGCCAGGGTGGGGCCGGATCTCCCAGACACCTGGGTTCAGTGTTGGTTCTGGGAGGTGGGGAGGATTCTACAGGGCCTGCCCTCCCGGATGCCTGGGTCCTCCCCTGACCTGAGGCAGGGAGGGGGCAGGACTGTTGGGTGGGGGGGCAGGGCCTTTTAGGGGGAAGTTGACCTGGATGCCTGGGTTCCCCCCGGGCCTGCCCTGAGCTCCCGGATGCCTGGGTCCCACAGCCACCGCTGGAGAGCCTGGCAACAGTGGAGGAGACCGTGGTGCGGGACAAGGCGGTGGAGTCCCTGCGGGCCACGTCCCATGAGCACTCGCCGGCTGACCTGGAGGCTCATTTCGTGCCCCTGGTGAAGCGCCTGGCGGGTGGCGACTGGTTCACATCCCGTACCTCGGCCTGTGGCCTCTTCAGCGTCTGCTACCCCCGCGTGTCCAGCGCCGTCAAGGCTGAGCTGCGCCAGTGAGTGCCTGTCATGGAGGGGAGGGAAAACTGAGCCTGGGGGGTGGTACAACCATGGTGGGGGGGACAGAGGCAGGGGGCAGGGTGATTGGGGGCAGAAGAGAGGCTGGGAGGGGTGGGGCTGTTTGGGGGTGGCAGGGCCATGGTGGGGGGAACAGATACAAGGGGTCATTTTGGGGGAAACAGGCTGGGAGTGGGCAGGGCTGTCGGGCTAAGGCCATTGGGGGGAAACTGAGGCAGGGAGGGGGTGCAGGGCTGTTGGGGTAGGGCAGTTTTGAGGAAACAAGGCGGGGACTAAGGCAGGAGATGGGGTCCTTGGGGGCAGGAAATGGGCAGGGAGGGGGTGAGGCTTATTGCATTTAGTCACCTGGTGATTTTTGGGGTTTGGGGACAGGGAGGTGGGTGGGGATGAGGAGCCAGGGGTGGGGCTAAGGGTCCAGTGGGGCAGAGCCTGGGCTGACCCTGATCCCTGCAGGTACTTCCGGAACCTGTGCTCAGACGACACGCCTATGGTGCGCCGTGCGGCCGCCTCCAAACTGGGCGAATTCGCCAAGGTGCTGGAGCTGGAGCATGTCAAGAGCGAGATCATCCCCATGTTCTCCAGCCTGGCCTCTGATGAACAGGTCCGTCCCCCCGCAAATGCCTGGGTCACAGCTGGGGGGATGGGGGGAGCCTGGGTCCTATCCAGGGAAGGAGCCCAGATGCCAGCATCCTACCTGGGAGGAGTGGGTGGAAGTACAGCCCGGATGCCTGGGTCCCATCTAGGAAGGTTGTGGGGGAGCCTGGGCACCTGGGTTCTCTCCTGAGCCTTAAGAGTTTGCAAGCCAGTGGATTAGATGGAGAGGGGTTTAGGTGCCTGAACACCTGGGTTCTCTTGCTGCTTTGGGAGCAGGGGGGCTTGGGAGACCTGGACGCCTGAGTTCTTTCCTAGCTGGGGGCTTGTGAGACCCAGCAGATTGGACACCTGTGTTCACCCACAAGCTTTAAAAGATTGAGGCCTAATGGATTGGAATGAGCGGGTTTCGGTGCCCAGACACCTGTGTTCTCTCAATGCTCTGGGAGCCTGGATGTCGGGTCCCGTGTTAACCCCATGGTACCCACAGGACTCGGTGCGCCTGCTGGCCGTGGAGGCCTGTGTCAACATTGCCCAGCTGCTGCCGCAGGAGGACCTGGAGTCGCTGGTGATGCCGACACTACGGCAGGCAGCAGAAGACAAATCCTGGCGGGTGCGGTACATGGTGGCCGACAAATTCACCGAGGTACTGAACAGTGTAGGCTGCAGGTCGGGAGTGAGGGGCACCAGCAGGGTGGGGCAGGGGCTGTGCGTTGGGAGCAAGGGGCCCCAGCCAGGCTGCAGGGGTTCCTGTTTCCTGTCTCACGCCCCACTGCCCCCCCTCCCCCCCAGCTCCAGAAGGCCGTGGGCCCCGAGATCACCAAGACGGACCTGGTTCCAGCCTTCCAGAACCTCATGAAGGACTGTGAGGCTGAAGTGCGAGCTGCTGCCTCCCACAAGGTCAAAGGTTAGCCCTGCCCCACCCTAACCCATAAACTATCTAATGAGGGGCAGAGCTGGGGTCCTTATCACCTTGTGGGGCATTGGGAGTGAGCCAGGTTGGTGGCAGAGGGGTTAGAGCAGGGGGATGGAAGCCTGGACACCTGGGTCCTCTCCTAGCTCTGCAAAGGGGTGGGGGGGTTGTTGGGGACTCTAGGGGCAGGGGCAGTTTTTTAGGGACCTGACCCTGTTTTTTGCCGCCCCCCCCCCCCCCCCCCCCCCCCCCCCCGGGCTACCAAGTGCACCCCTGCACCTTTTTGCCGCCCCCCCCCCCTCCCCCCCAGAATTTTGTGAGAACCTGTCACCTGACTGCCGGGAGAACGTCATCATGACCCAGATCCTGCCCTGCATAAAGGTGCTGTCACCCTGTTGCTCCTGGAGTGGATGGGGGGCTGGGAGCCTGCACACCTGGGTTCTCTCCAGGTCTTTGAGGGGAGGTGGAGCTGAGGGGTGAGCACAGTGGGGGCTGGGAGCCCAGGCACTGGCGTAGGGCTGGGAGATTTGGGGGTGGGAGTTAGGGGCCTGGGTGCCTTGGTTCTTTTGGAGGGGAGCTGGCAGGTGGGTTTGGGAGCCCAGATGCGTGGGTTATTTGAGGCAGAGGGGGATCTGGGGAGTCTCAGGAGCCTGGACATCGGGGTTCTTTCCAGCTCCTTTTGGCAAAGAAGTAGGGGTGTGGGGGGTGAGAGCAGGGGGCTCTGGGAGCCACACCTGGGTTCTCTCTAGCCCAAGGCATGGGGCTAGGGGGGACACGGAGCCCGGGTACTTGGGTTCTCTGCCCTCTTTGGGAGGAGGTGTTCCAGCTGTCTTGGGGGTGATCGTCAGAGTGGGGCTGGGAACCTTAGTTCTCTCTCCAGCTTCAGTGGCTTGGGGGAGTGTCCCCTGGTGACAGGGGTAAGGCTGACTGTGGCCCTGGCCCCGCAGGAGCTGGTGTCGGATGCCAATCAACACGTCAAGTCGGCACTGGCTTCAGTGATCATGGGGCTCTCGCCCATCCTGGGCAAGGACAACACGGTGGAGCACCTGCTGCCCCTCTTCCTGGCCCAGCTCAAGGATGAGGTTGGTCCTCCCCACCTGTTACACATAGCTGTTTTTTTCCTTCCCCCCCACCCAGAGCTGGGTGCATCTTGGGGCCCACAGAGCTCTCCCTTTGCTGTGTTTTTATAAATAGCTGCCACACCCCAGAGCTGGAAGCACCTTGGCACCCAGAGATCCCTTTTTTGCCCTGTTTATATATGGCAGTCTTTGATATGCTCCACCCCAGAGCTGGCTAAAATTTTTGGGACCCAGAGCTCTCCCTGGTGCTGTGTTTTTATAGGCAGATTTACCT